TATACAACTTAGAATGGCGAACAAGCTGGCGGCCCACCTGATTGAAAGTGGTAACCGTCGCCTATAGACATGAGCAGTACCATGGACACAACAGAGTATACTGTTTCGTCAATGATACCCCCCATGCGTTGCCATTCCTGAGGACTCAGGTGTTATTCCTCTGTACTCAGTAAATTCACGCCATGTCCCACCCTTCAAACCGAAACACAGTTATGCAAACACAACTGCTTCACGGTTGAAACACGAATGGGACAGAGGTACCCAAGCAATCGACTTTTGTACAAATAAATCTCTATAAAATCTCTGAAATCCATATAAATACTCTAGTAAATCTTATAATTTATCTGTCAAAAAAGTTAATTAAATACATTATGATTTTTCGAAATTTGGTGTTTGCTCTAATGCTTCGATTTTCAATAACAGTGTTTTCTTTTTATGTGTTTCTTTTATCCGTGTTTTAGCGGCTATGTATTATTTAATAGTGTAATAATATTATGGGGTTTTTAAAGCTGTGTGTTTGCCATAAATAAATAAATGAATGAAATAAATATTTTATATCTATACGAAACTTCGTACACGTGGATTTCAGAAGTACGAAAACAAGTGAAATAGCTTTAAAAGCAAGTTAAAAATATATACCAGTTTTTAAATTTCACCAAATGAAGCGTAAAAATTGCATCCAATTTGTAGCAGTAGTTTTTGGTGACGCTGGAACAAATATTTAGAGATGAAGAAAATTAAAAAAAAAAAATATTTTACTTCTATTGTTCTTATTAAGAAATTTATGTATATAAATTTTTCTCAAATATTTCTATGTACAGACATCGTCTATTTGCAATTTTATTATATTGTTTAATGTAAAATAAAAAATAATAATGTCTTAATCCTGGACATAGTATGAATGAATGAATGAATGAATGAGTATACTTTATTTGCATTATACAATATAGGAAATAAGCAAGGTAATTTACAAACACAACGATACAATTGTATAAGTGCAGTAAGGCGGTCTTATTGCTGAGAATTGAGAGAGACAACGTACTTAGGCGTCTTAACAATTATTTTAAAGGTATCAAAGATAGATTTCTTGAGTAGCAAAGGGTGGGATATGGCGTGAATTTATAAGGTACAGAGGAATAACACCTGAGTCCTCAGGAATGGCAACGCATGGGGGTTATTATTGGCGAAATAGTATATTCTGTTGTCCATGATACTGCACATTCTATCCATGCAACTCCATCAGGTGGGCCATCAGCTAGTTTGCCATATAAGTTGTATAAAAAAGCGACCCCGTAAGGTCAAACGCAGTGTAGGACGACCCCCCACTAGATGGAGTGACGACCTCGAATACATTGCATGGATTTCACTGGATGCTGAGCCACCTACTCAGGCTTCATTATGGCAGTGTATGGGGGAGGCCTATGTCCAGCAGTGGACAGATAATGGCTGAAGTGATGATGATTTGTTTATGCCTGTTTCGAAGATACCCGTAATCCATTATCCTCTGATATTATATCACGCCCAGTTCAATGGTCGTAATGGCCGACACGACTCCGCGTTGCGTGTTCGACACAAAAAAAAAACAGTCGAAACGTTGCATTATGCATGTAATGTCCATACATACATACATACATACAAAATACGTACTTACGCTTATATAAGATGTTTAAAAATAGACTGCACATGTATCATGTGTCAAATTGGTATTTTTATACAACTCGGAATGTCAAAGTTGACGGCGTATCTGATAGAAAGCGAAAACCGTCGCCTGTAGACATGAACAGCACCATGACATTACAGACAGTACTGTGATATCTATGGTGTGTATATATGTATCCGTAATATATAGCTTATATATAGCGTCGAGCCACAAAAACGGGTCAACTTTTTGTCAACTAATTGTCAAATTAGCTAACTCGTGTTTTTATTAAAGATTTTAATTAGTTTTTATTAATTAAGATTCTATATACTTATACTTACTTAAGCATAAAATGTATCTTGATGTATCTATATTTAATTATTTAATAAATCAAATGGGTTTTTGCGCATTAAAAGGGTGCTGCATTTAAGACAAAATAAATAGGTATAGAAGATATAAAGTTATAAACCCATAACTATTTGTCACGCAAAATTGTATGAAAAAGTTAATCCGCTATTCTCGAAGAATTTGTATGGAGACACTACCACATAACATAGTATATAATAATTTTTTTTTATATTGACTATGATATACTTAATGAAATACTTAATTATTAAGCTCAGTTTTTTCATGGCATAATGTCGCTGTTTGACTACAGAAACTTTTGTAACAATTGTCAACCTAAACGTATACAGCTTTCTTACTCGTAATTAGTTTTTTTTTTTTTTTTTTTTTTTTTTTTTGGTGGATGAAAATGGTATAGTAACCCCGCCTGCGCTAACGGGATACGCTGGCGGAGGACCAGTGAAGGGTGCTAGATTAGAATGAAAACAGGCCAGCTAGCCCATCATGATGAATTCATCAGGAATTAACCATGATAGTTTCCAGGGGGAGCCACGAGGAGGCCGACCTGGTTGGGTATATTGCTAGCGATGGGATTTTTAGTCTCCATTATTAACAATCCCTTTCCCCCCTAACTCGTAATTAGTTCAAAAATGTTAAATAATACTGTTGGGCGTTCAATTATGAATCAAAACAAGATAATGTGATTTACAATGAGTGCGAGATGGGTGCCATCCCATTCTTTTTTTTTATCTAATTAATTGTTGTTAGTGAAAAGTTTGCTTTCACCCGTTTCTATAAAAGAAAACTTGAGATCTGTACGCGATAACTAGCAATTATTGTTGAATCTAGATGACACAATATGTTTATATTTTCACAACATGTATGAGAACACAGTGAGTGTATTGTTTAAATTTATTTGTTTATTATTTCTTTTTTTTTTTCTTTCTTTCTTTTATTTATTTATTTTATTGTAAGATGTACTAACATTAGTCTAAGATTATGTTACTAATAAATTAGATCATTGTAGCTTTTAATATTAAATTTTATTTTTATTATTTGCCGTGTGTGTCCTGGCATAGAAAGGGCCATCCCTTCCTTTCTCATGGGTGCCGTAAGAGGCGAATAAGGAAGGGCGAGGGATGAGCAGCAGCGCCTCACTCCCTCTTGAAACATCTCTAAAAGCCTAACTGCGGTTGCCAACCCGCCTGCCAAGCGTGGCAACTAATGGCAAATCTTCCCTTATGGGGAAAGCTTATTTATGTCCAACAGTGGACAGTTAGCGGCTGAAATAATAAATAAAATTATTAATATTGTTAATACCTACTCCTTACTATATATAAATTATAAATGTGAAAGTGAGTTTGTTTATTACCTCTTGGCGCCTTAATGGCGTAAACGAATGACATAAAATTTCGCATTTATGTAATAAGACAGCGTTGAAGTTGAAGATATAGCCTACATTTGGTGGTGGTCACGCGGACGTGTATACATGTATACTAAAGTGTATAGTACAAATAAATACTATATATATGTATAGTATTTTTTTTTAATGAATGATAATAGAATGGTAACCCCGCCTGCGCTAACGGCATACACTGGCGGGGCATCAGTGAGGGGTGATAGGAGAAAATGGAAAGGCAGGTCAGTTAGCCCATTGTGATGAATGCACCTGGAATTCAGCACGATGCTTTCCAGGGGAGGTCAACCTGACAAGATATACTACTAGCAATGGGACTGGTAGCCCGCATTACTAACAATCCCTTTCCCCCGGTTTTACCCAGTGTGACTTTACTAATTCGATTACTAATTATTTGACTGAGAAATTTATTCGGATTATTTTACTACTTCGGATTACTAAAACACATGTTTAGGAGGGCCAGGTCGAGAATGCAGGGCTGATGCAACGGGCTCGTCGGAAAGTGAGTCGAGTGAAGGGGTGGCAAGATGTCGAAGTCCATGGAGTGCTAGAGTCTCTCCAGGGTGTGACCGTTTAGATTGGGTCTAGCATAGCTCCAGAGACAGTGCTTGCCATAATAAGGGTGCAAGCATATGTATGTTTGCACCCTTAGACGTCCAATATTGCTTTTTTCAAATTTATCAAGTTCTAAATTTTCTTTTAAATTAGTATGTAATTAAATTTATTTTAATTAAACTAACTTTTAATTGAATAAAATAAAATAAGTATATTATAAACTTTATTATAATTATGAAAATAAGTTTCATCATCATCATCACCATATCAGGCTTTAATTAATTGTTTTTAAAGGGATACTGCTGCTCAAACCCTCGACTATTAAGTTCCCTTAGTCGCCTCTTATGACCTCTGTGGGCAAGGATGGGGAGACCTCTAAGGTACATTAATTCTAATTTATTTCTTTATCTAATCAAGTTCTTAATATAATATCTAGAGACATTCCTGTAGCATGTCGGAGCAATACTAATTAGCAGTTTGTAAGTAATGGGCTCTGTACATAATTCAATAATGACTACAGAGAAAATTGTCTTTTCGCTGCGCAAGAAAATTATTTTATCGGTTTTCCAGCCTCTGATAGAATCTATTAAGCACATTGAAGATTATCTGGAGGCTGGAGTGCCCTCTGCTCTATGGCACGATATCAAAGATAATAATTTTTTTTTTATTTAGGTTTTTTTAATGTATCTAGGTGAAATAATCCAGGTCCCAGTGAGGAATGACAAGTAAGGCTGAAATTAGGTAAGTTGGTTTATTTATTGTGATGAATTCGTTAGTCTATAGTTTCCAGGACAGACCGCGTAGAGGTCGATCTGATAAGGTTTAGCAATCTCGTTTACCTAATAATTTAGCTAGATAGGTAAGTGATAGGTTTTAGTAGATATTCTTGTGGTTACCTTAAATACCTGGTTTACTACCTTTTATGCTGCTAACAATATGGTAATAATGCGATAAATTTGATAATTAAAATTATATAAATTACATAAATATAAGAAAATTAATTGAAATAAAAAACAATATGTATTAGTAAATAAAATAACTTACCGATAACAGTGAGACATCGCTTCCCGGAGCCACCGATATCCGCCATAATATCTGTTCTAATGCAACGCTTACGTCACGCCACTTTCACTGTTTGACAGCGTACAATAACATGCCTTAGCCACATAAGAACTAGAGGACGGTGCACTCTACAACCAGGTTCAACGCACGATTTAAAAAATAAAATGAAAAAAAAAAAAAAGAAAGAAAACGACTCGAGAGCGCGAAGGGTTTTCGAATGTGACTCGAAGCGTTCGAAATTTTGGGGGGAGAATTTGAAAATGCGTGGTGCACGCTCACTTTCGTGGCGGGCAGTGAGCAGAACGCGAGCAACGAGGTGCTTTTACTTTCCTTGCTCAGTGGGGAGTGCATCAAATTGTGTTGGCGGATCTGCCACTGTGATCACTGGCAATGATATAATAAGCGGAGACTTGGACCACAGTCGAGGTCGCCAGGCTGGGTATCCCAAACTTAACGAAAAAAAAACAAGTCTCTACTTTATGGTAGCGTTGACGAAATAAATGAGTAAATATTTTTTATTAGTTTGTCTGTGCATCATACACCATATAGCGAATTAAAATGTGAAAGTAAGAACTGATACAGATCTGTGAAGAAGTTTAGTGAGATATATTAAATTCTGAAAAAGAGCACGTCTACTTTTTAAAACCAATACTTATATTATATGGGTAGTGTCCCCATAGAAATGCTTCGAGAAAAATGGGTCAACATTTTCATACAATTTTGCGTGATAAGTAGTTATAAGTGGTTCCTTTATAACTTCTATTATATTTATTTTGTCTTATAGTTTCTGCATCTTTTAATGCGTAAACACTCATTTTATTTATTAAATAATACATCAAGATACATTTTATGCGTAAGTATATAGAACACCACTAAAGAAAAACGAGTAAACTAATTTAATTAGCCGACAAAAAGTTGACCCGTTTTTGAGGCTCGATGCTCTATCTATACAGATAATTATTAAAAACTATTAAAGATTGGCGAATTTTTAAAATAAAATATTATACTCTTTTGTTGGAAAGGTGCATCTACTCAATTGATGAATTTTAAAATACTCCTTCATTATTTTATGCTTTACTGATGACTTTTAAATTGATTGTAATGTTATTTTTTGACAATTATTATTGGTTATTTTGTTGCTTCATGTTTTTTTTTTTGTTTTGTTATATTTTACGATATCTTTTTGTCACTTGCAAAAATATTCAACACAATGCAATATTGTAACGAATAAAATAAATTGAATTGAATTGAATTGAATTGATAAAAATTTATCCAGTTTTAATTTTTATTCTTTGTCAAAAACTGATGCAAATTCTGAATATATTTGTTAATATTTCAAAACAACATTAAAATAAGTACTTCTTTTTAAATCTTTTAATAATAAAAGGCCACGAATAAAGTCGCGGTGTGGCTGTAGTTCTTGATTTAAGTTGAAATCATAATATTTATTTTCAGACTACTACGAATTTTGAATGTGAAATACCAATCTTGGAACTTGAATAATCGTGCTGCTAACATAAGCCGATCTTAATCGACAATCGGTAGTCACGCACGGGTACGGCACTAATTTATTTGTTTTAAATGAAGAATTTCAATTTAAAACAAATAAATTTGTCTTTGATTCATTTGAGATAAAGCTCACTTGTTTATTGTTCACTAAACAACTATCATATTGATGGCTTATCTTTTTAATAAATAAAAAAAAAATAGAGTACAGATCTATCTATCGTAACCGCATCTGTGCTATATAATTTATTTGCTCGAAATGTGGTACAAATACTCTTAAATGACAATAGAGCTACACATTTCGCCTTATCTAAAGACATGCAAATTTTGTCTCAGCACATGTTAGTAACTTTTTAGTGGCTTACATTTTTAAAGCAAAAGTTTATCAATTACATATGTATAAAGAATTACTCTAAATACATAATATTGGTGTGCCTACTCGTACCTACGGGGCACCAGTGAGGAATGATATGTGATGAAGACAAGTCAGTTGGTCCATAGTCACGAATTCGACAACCACTATAGTTTTAAGGGGAAAACGCGAGGAAGTCAACCTGATGGATATATTGCTAGCAATGAAACTGGTAGTGACTGACACTCCTTTTTCCTCTGATGGCATATTTTTTAATGGTTGAAAATGGAGTAGTCTCCTTCGCTATAGGTATATACTGGCGAAGCGCCAGTAAGAGATGACAGATGCGGATAAAAGCGAGTTAGTTAGTCCATCGTGATGAATACAACAAGAATTAACCACGACGGTTTCCAGAGGGAACATACATGATAGGGTATATTGCTAGCAATGGGGCAGTTAGACCCCATTACTAACAATTAACCCCCCCCCCCCCCACCCCAACGCAAAGGATTACCATCACGGTTACCATTTCATTTTCAACATGAGAATATTGACGAAATGTCTTAAGTATGTCAATGCCTTAACTAATAACATACTATTATGAATAAACGTCTTTATCCCGGATTCGAAAGATGCAGTGTATTTCTTAGAAAGTGTAGTTTTGAAATATGTCTTCAAGAAATGGCCGGCCAGTTAAATAACTTCTTGTGTAACACTTGTGGTTTTTACGTATTGTTCATGCGTTGAGGTAGTTAAATTTTTTTCTGTAACCAATTTTTTTTAAACAACTGGTGTCATGTCGTATAGGGAGGTCAAGGATATGGCCTGGGTTAAAATTGGCTGGAAGAAGATGCATGAATTTAATGCACTGACAAGAGGAAACTCTTAAATGAAAAGGAAACCAATTTTAACAATTAACATTTGTCTATATCTTTGTCAGTTTTTTTTTTCTTTTTATTAACAAATTGGGTTCCGTTTGGTTTTTTGTTGCAAATTTCAAAACAGAATATGTATTTCGAATGTATTTTAATCGAAATCCTACTAATTTTGTGAGTCCTAATTTTAAATTTCGCTATCCATAATTCTTTTAATAAAATAATATAATAAACATATAATTTTTAATTTATTCACTTAATTTTTGGCGTATTAAAAAAAGAGAGAAATATTACAGCGGAACAAAGTACAAGTATTTTAAATAATATCCTTTCTAATATAATTATAAATATAAAAGTGAGTTTGCTTGATTGATTACCTTATAGAGGCTTAATAACTTAACCCTTCTTTGCATGATTTTTTTAGTGGTAAAGTAAATCAAGATGATACCATTCATGTTCAAAATGGTTAAAAAAATTAATTTGACACTTATGTTTTTTTTTCTGCAATGGACATTAAAAAGGTATCCAGACACGATCAACTTAAAGTGAAATTGGTCTTTTATATAATTTTTGGGCATTCAATGTTGTGATGGAAATTTCCACCATTATGTAAACCAATTACTATGAAATTTGGTATACACGTACTATATCCCGGTCACAAGGATGGAGTTGGGGTAGTAATTATAATTTTTAGAACTTTTTAAGTCGGTTTTTTTTTGAAAAAAATTAATTATATCTTAAATTAAGTTTAACAAGGAGTTCTTAGAATCATGTTTGATAAGAGTTTTACTGACTATTTGTTCTATATCTGTTATGTCCATGGTACTGCTCATGTCTATAGGCGACGGTTAACACTTTCCATCAGGTGGACCGTCAGCTTGTTTTTTTTTTTTTTTAGTACGTTTGTTCCGTTTGGAACAGGCTAAGGTCGGAGACCATGCTGCCTAGTCTTCAAAAAGATAAATTGTCTGGAATCCGTCAGCTTGTTTGCCATTGTCAGTTGTATAAAAAAAAATGTCTCCTATTAAATATTGTCTGTGGGCCTATGTTTAGCAGTGGACGGATAATGTCTTAAATGATGATGATGATGAATGAATATTGTAAATGCTGAAATTTCTAGGGATGAATGGATAAATTAATGTTTGTTACTCTTTCATGCAAGAATTACTTAACAGTTTTGAATTAAATTACGTACACGGGTAGGTATATCCTAACTCAACGCATGGGAGATGGGGGGGAGGAGGGATTGTTATTAATAGAGATTGTCCTATTGCTAGGAATATACCCTATCAGCTCGACCTCCACGCGGATTCCCTTGGAAACCATTGTGATTGATTTATTGTTGAATTCATCACGACAGGCTAACTTACTTGCTTCATCATTACCTATCATCCCTTACTAGTGCCCCGCCAGTGTAAACCGATAGTGCAGGCTGGGTTACCATTCTATTATCATTTATAAAAAAAAAACTCAGCGCATAGGAAGCTTAATTTAGTAATTCATGCTGGCGAAACGGAGGGATATTGCTAGTGCATTGATAACTTAATTAGAAATATAAGTTTACGAAATCGTCCGCTAGAGGCGCAGCTATCTTTTTAATACACATTTTCATCGTGAACGTTAAAACAGAACGGAAATCTGTGTTAATCTTACACTAGGGATTCCAAAGCGTAAACAAACAAGCTTATTTATTACTTTCCATCAGGCAAGTCGCCATTTGCCATATAAAATTAATATAAAAAGAAAAAACAAGCCAATCGCAATATTTTTTAAGGTCACCCTTGAGTCTTTGTATAATATGAAACATAGTTATGAGACCCTTTCATAGAAAATATCCACGAAAAAACATTCATTTTATTATTGGTAAAAAATATTTGTTATTTCTTTATGCGAATGGCATTTTGATTATCCGGGAAGCCCAGCAATTTGTGAGCAAATCTATTCGCTCCATGGAATGTAATGGCGATACGAATATGATATTATTAAATATAAAAGGTCAAATAGAGAATATTTCAAATATTCATGTATATTTTGTTTTGATATAAACAACAGTGTACCCAACTGTTTCCCGCTGTTTTACTCGCACGAATCCGTGTTTGTTTATTGTCGTTGCATAGTCTTGTTTTTATTTAATTTAGTAATAAAGATAAGTCAGAAAAAAAAATATTATATTGTACAATAGGATACAAAATCTATAAACAAACATCAAATAGATAGATAGATAGATAGATACTCTTTATTGTTTCCTCCAAAAGATTACAATAGTAAACTTATTATAGATATAAACAATTACAAGAAATAATCACAGCGAGAAAACAATGGACGACCTTATCGCTAAGAGCGATCTCTTCCAGGCAACCTTTGGATGGAGAGGAGTAATTATAAACAATTTGGTGGGAGGCACGATAAAAAATTTTGCTAGTTCTAAATATGGGAGATGTGATACATATATGTAATTTTTTTTATACCACTGAGGTGGCAAACAAGCATACGGCCCACCTGATGGTAAGCGGTTACCGTAGCCTATGAACACCTGCAATACCAGAGGTATTACGCGTGCGTTGCCGACCCTGAAGAAACCTCTTTACCCCCCTTTTGAAGAACCCCATGCTACAGTCTCTTGGGAAAACCTCGGCAGGGAGCTCATTCCACAACCTGAGTGTTCGTGGGAGGAAACATCTCTGAAACCGGTGAAAAATACTTACAAAAACTTACAAATAGTAAGAACAATAAGACTTTTTTATTATAAAATATT